TCAGCCATCCCCAGGAAAGCAGGGCTCCATCCCACATAACGGTTACTTGGGAAGACAAACGCCATCGTTCTGAACGTCCCCCCCTTCCTTCTTCTTCCCCCAGCTCCATATGCTGAACATGACGCCATATGGTGTGGAACAGCCCTGTGGGCAGCTGGGGTCAGCTGTCCCGGCTGTGTCCCCTCCCAGCTCCTCGTGCACCCCCAGCCCACTCGCTGAGAAGCAGCAAAGGCCTTGACTCTGTGTAAGCGCTGCTCAGCAATCACGAAACCATCCCTGTGTTATCCACACTGTTTCCAGCACAAATCCAAAATGTAGCCCCACACTAGCTACTAGGAAGAAAATGAACTCTGTCCCAACTGAAACCAGGACAGGAGGATAAGCGGCTCTTACAGCAATATGGGATGGATGAAGTAGTGGAGAATATCCATTAATGAGGTGAATGAAATTATGATGATTCTAAAATGGCTGATTTCCTTAACTGCTTCGTAAATTGATCTTTAAACAGCATAAGTTTATAGAAATATGTTAAAAAGGGAAAATAACTGAAGCCCTGCTTGAATAACAGTTCTAAATATGTTACAGTAGTTATTCATTAAAAAGCAGTAGATAGTTGGCAGTGTTGGAACATGTTCAATAATACTAAGTTTTGCAATATTTGTTTTGGGTTTTTAATGGAAAATTCCCAGTTCCTGCAGTTGTTTTCAATACATAAAACTCACTCAGAAGCATTGTTTCTAGATCTCATGGTTGTGTAGAAAAGCACATGAAAATGTGAATAAGAGTTCAAAATCAAGGAGACCGATTAGAAGTATGTCAGACGCAATGTGTGCTGTGTATGTAAGTATAAGCAAGGCAGTTTTTACATCTGTATATGACATTAATGAGACCAGCAGTGAGATACTGTGTCTGATTTTGGTGTTCATATCTCTTTAGGTGTTAAAAAATTATACAGAAGTTGTCTAAAAGGGTTGGAGGGCTAGAAGGACACCTTGCATGGACAGACAGACTGCTGGGATCGTTGACTTTGGTTTTGGTTTTTTTTCAAGTTACCAACGTTTTTCCAGTGATTGTTAAACATAGTATAATGGATCTAATCTGACAGTAGGTTTGCTGCTCTTAGATTGCTTTCTGCAAGCCTTTTAGCAGCAGTCCACAGATGAACAGGACTCTGTAGAACACAAGTTGGAAGTCATTGAATATCTTGCTCTTACTGCAGAGCCTTGTCCGGCAGCCCTTGCATCCCTGCGCCATTGAAGTTATTGCACATGCACAGCGGATCCCCGCTGCATCAAAGCGGGACAAATTGGAGGCCAGGTCACTTTCCCACATACAGCCGCGTACGACAGAAGGTCAACCATTTCTCTTGCATATAAGAACACTGGAGTTCATTATGTGTAATTCACTAGTAAGTCACTAAAGGATACTTAGGATTCACTAAAGGTTTATGTGCAATTCACTAAAGGATATTAATTTGGCCTGAGAACCCAGATCTGGAAGCTCAGCCCTGACGTTTTAGACAAATTAGGGATCACACCCAAATTCTAAAGGGAATGACTGGCCATGGCAACAAACTGCTGCTGGAAATGGTAAGTTCTGTGTTGCTTGACATCTTTTAAGCCATCTGGAAAGTCAGGCTTTTGTCAGATGCGAGTTTTTCAGTTAACAGGGCTAGAAAGACAAAAGTTTTGGGTTTCTAAGTCTGTGACAAACTGGCGATTAAACTAGATAATCTAAAGTATGTTTTGGTATTAAACGTCGAAGAGTCAGTAAAGTAGGAATTCTGAGTAGAGGTAATTATGGGTGGAGGTTCTGGTTCACTAAATCCTCCAGTTCAACAAGTACTTGAGTACGTGACACTTGGTGTTGACAGATAAATGATCCAGGAAATGGTGACATGAGAAATACAGGTAAGAAATGCCAAAAATGGGTTTATATCTAAGGAGAGGCGAGCTGACATATCTAGTGAAAACCATCTCAAGGCCAGATGTTTAAGAAGAGATTTTTCAATTTGAAAACCGTGCTACTCAGAGCTGACACGGGGGGCTTTCAGGCTGTACGGGAGTTGGTGATGTGAGTCAGTAAGTCAGCGTGACACTTCTCTTCTCACAAAGCCTGGGGAAAAGGATCGAGCAGCCCTGCTTCCCCCAACGCAGAGGCCAAACCTAGAACACAGTGTCTGTTTCCAGATGCTCCTTGTCAAGCTCTGAACGTCTCAGTCTGAGATGCAACTTCCAAATTTTACTTGTTAGAATTCCAGTCAGTTGCTAGTCTACTGCTGCATTGGCTGCTTTGCCTTCCTTTTAGTAGAATAATCTGTGTGCTTGTCTTTTAAAATTTTAAATGGCTTGTGTGTTTTCAGTAATCAATTGTCCAAAGGACAGCACATTCCTGTTGGACTGAAGCACTTATATGGCTGTGGTCCGTCTGTCTTCTCACATAGTCGTTTTCTTGGATGGGAGTCATCCCCTTGCATTGTCCTCCTGCTTCCTTCTCCCATTGTTGAAACAATGAAAGGGGGGTGGTAGTTGCTTTATGAGACCAAAGACAGGAGCTTCTTCTCATTTCTGTATTTTCCAGGCTGCAAGTGCCATTTTTTGTGGATTCATGCACCCTGGCTTTGCAGCACCACGTCTGTACAGGTGCCCTCTAGCTACAACTCTACTAAGCAAGCCAGTTCTCGGTGGTGTTCTTCAGCCCCAAGGCCACTTGGCTACGTCCATACTGCCAGACACTTAGCCTTGAGCTGAGTGGCTGCATCCAGAGTGTTTGTGGTTTCTGCTCCATGCAAAGTCTTAGAAAAAGCCTGTGAATTGGTCAGGAGTGCACAGGTTGACCAAAACTGTGCCAAAGACAGTTACAGTGATTTAACAATGCTGCAGACGACTGCGTGTAGATGCTACGGTGCCTCTTCTGAGCACTACTTAATTTACTATTATTGACGTGCCTATACCTGCTGACTCAAGGATAGACCTATTTGCATTGCCTAGTCAAGTCTGTGTTGTGAGATGTTATTCCCCTAAGAGATTCCCTTGCTGCACCCCCAAAACCTACAGGCTTGGTTTACTTTTATGCGATTCGTGTATCTGAAAAAAGACTAAATGCAGCAATTGAAAAAGTTTTGTCACCGTGTGGCTCCTGTTGGGGACTTCTCTGTGCCAGTGCAGAAATGGAAATGAGGAGTGATCTTCAAAATTTGCGGAGAGAAATAGGCAGCCCTGTCCCTGGAAGGTCTAGCATAATCGTGACAGCCATCATCCCTCTTTTGGTTTTCATAGGGTCCTTGGAATTCTTCCTTGACTTTCCTGAGGCTGCTGTTTGTCTGCTCTCGCTTGTAGGGATTGTACATTAGCTCTGTCATGTCTCCTGGAGCTTGAGTGATCTCTTCACCCTGCTCTCCTGCAGGAATTGTAATAAAACCTTGACTCAGAAGATTCACAAGAAGGATGGAAAATGCCTCAATCTCTTTGCCAAGTTCTGTCTGCCCTCCATCTGCCATGCCTTCTTCTCAAGATCTTGAGTTCTGAAGGAGGTGATCTTCTCATTTTTATGCCATTTGCATCTGTAGTGAGGAGACTTAGGAAGGAAAAGAGATTAAGGGAGCATACTGTGATTTTTTTCAATTCCATTTCTGGGCTTTGCAGCAAATACATGTTCGTTGTTCTGGCACCTTGGGAAGTTTAGGAGTTAAAAATGCTTTTGATGAGCCACCATGATGACTGAGTTACATGAGAAGCCTGCCTTTGGAGGGGGAAAAGGCTGTAGACTTATTTCTTTAAATGAAAGCTCAGTAGTAATTGGATGTGCTGCACTTTCCTTGTTAGGGCAGGCGATCTGTGACAACATTCCAGGTTCAAAAGTTACTAACTTCAGAAATCAAACTTCAGAAATGGGACTTCAGTCACATCAACTTTGATCCTACAGGCCACTAGAATTTCCGCTAGGTGTGGTTTTATCTTCTTTTTTTTCAAGGTAGCAACAAAAAGTTAGGGCAACTTGAACTGTTCGTACTTAAGATTCAAAAGAGTTGAGATTCATAAATCTCACGTCATAACTGGTTAAAACTTCTCCAGAAAGACTCAACCTCTGGCCTCGACCTGACAGTTTTGGAATCTGGGATTTCTGTCTGGTGGATACTTAGCAACAGGCAAAATTTTGTCTGAAATCAAGTTGCAGTCTTAATTACTGAGAAACCACTGTCTCTTTGTAGCAGTGGTTTATCAAAAGCAAAAGGGTAGTAACTGCAGGTTTGTTGTCGAAGGTGCAGGGAATGCTAGTAGAAGAGAGAAATGCTATTTGAGCAGTTGAAAGAAAATAAGCCCTTCTGCTACATAGTGAGACTAGCATTCGTGGGAGGTTGCCTGCTGAGCTTGTTTGGAGGTGGACTGTTGGGCTGCCAGCTCTGTCGTGTGTGTGACTTAAAGTTTTGGACCAGAATTGATCTTGCCTGCATGTAAGGTACTTCCCATGTACCACAGAGAACTATTGAACTGAAGTATTTGCTTTTACATTTTACCTTGTTTTTAGTCTGCTGGAAACCATGTCTCACTACACAGACGAACCAAGATTTACCATAGAGCAGATAGACCTGCTTCAGCGCCTGAGACGTACAGGAATGACCAGACATGAAATCCTCCACGCGCTGGAAACCTTGGATCGTCTTGATCAAGAGCATAGTGACAAGTTTGGAAGAAGGTCTAGCTACGGAGGTGGTTCCTACAGCAACAGTACCAACAATGTCCCAGCATCTTCCTCTACAGCCACAGCTTCAACACAGACCCAGCATTCTGGGATGTCCCCATCACCGAGCAACAGTTACGACACCTCCCCACAGCCTTGCACTACTAATCAGAATGGGAGGGAGAGTAACGAGAGGTTGTCTTCATTCAACGGGAAGATGTCACCTACCCGCTACCCACTTGCAAACAGCTTGGCTCAAAGGTCGTACAGTTTTGAAGCTTCTGAAGAGGACTTGGACATTGATGACAAAGTGGAGGAACTGATGAGGTTAGTAGAAGTCTTTATAGTTTGGGAAGTCATAGTGAGAAGTCCCTCAGAAGAAATCTGCATGTTGGAGGACTGCTGTAGTAGTGATGGGTATTATCAAGAAAGCAGGAACTGCGTTAGACAGCTGTTCCCCTGTTAGTTCCCTCGCGGTCGCTATCTCAGTACCTCTCACCTGCCTCCCAGTCTTGTGTAGACAACCCCTGGCTGTGCGTGGGTATCCCACAGTCTGTTTTACTGCTGAAATATTTTTCCCATGCTGTACCAAAAATTGAAATTGATGTTAATGCACTAATTTTCCGCCCTATTTTTATTCAGAAGACTTCTGACTGAGTGTCAGTTCATGTGACTCCTCCACTACTTCATACCAGTTGTATTCCCTTCCATATATAGGAGGAGTAGGGAATCTGCTTGGTTAATGCTTTCCACTGGGATCTGCAGAGCACGTATGTTATCTGTTTGGGGCAGGGGCTGACTCTCTCTGGTTTTGCACAGTCTGCAGATTGGCATAGGAAAATACAAATAATAAAGAAGAAGCAGAAGTCTTCAGTGAGAGCCAGTTGGGGTTTTTTTCCAGACTGACCTTCCTTTACTTTTTGCAGCTTCCTTTTCAGCATTGTGGCCAAGATGAAAGGAGGGGATTATACCACTGAGGATGAAAGTCAGAGTCAGTGGGCTTGATAGCAAAAAGAAATAAGAGGAAAGGCCAAATGTCTCAAAACAATTTTGGTCATAATGTTGGAATGTTGTCTTTTCCCCAAAATTGCAACATTTGTGAAGTACCTATGAGAGAACTAGGGTCCATAAGCTCCAGGATGAAAATATCTTTGAAGTAGTTTGGAGATTTAAAGTAAAGGTGTGGCTTTTGGGGTAGAGGATTAGAGATGAGCTGTAAGAAAAGCCGATCAACCTCGTTTACTGTCGGCTGCAGGGTAATGGCGTAATGCGGGAAGGTGGTGAGTACAGCCGTATGCAGGAGTTCCCATTGCTGAAGTTTAATCGTTCCTTTGAGTTTTGGGTTCCTATGCAATAAGTCTCAGGTAACACTTTTAGTGCTTATTTAACCTGAAACTACTTTTATTCACAGGCATATGGAAGATGAGTGTTGGGTAGAGAAATAAAAATGAACCCGCAACATAGCATTTATTTTGCATTTACATTTGCAGGCTTGAATCTGCCTTGAATGCTGCTGGGGCAGGAGGGGAGAAGGGGAAGGGAAATTACCAAATAATAAAGCCTAATAAAGTCTGGTTTTAATTGTCTGCCCTTCTCAGGAAGGGAGGGAGGAAGAGGAGGGAAAAGTATCTGTTTACTGCAATTGAAATTTGCTGCATATCACAGTCCCTGTGGAACCTCCAAATTATTTTCTTTTTGGCACAGTTTTCGTCCCTTCTGAACTATCTTTGCACACCTTGTAAAAATCATACAAAGGCTTTAAATAACTGGCGCTTGTTCATTCAGTGCAGGCTGTGGACTAAGGAAGTAGGGGTGGGGGGGTAGAGGTTGCAAAATCTTTTCTCCTTTGGGTCTTTTCCTTGAAAGGTTGGAGAAGGTTTGTGTCTGCATATTCATTTGTGTAGCTAACCATGCAGACCCTGCTATCCTTTATTTTTTATTTTTGTGCCTCATTTTTATGACTGAGGTTTTTATGCTGGTATGAGAGATTTATTCATCCCTGCGTAATGAAACTTTGTACATTCCATATGGTAGTGCTGCACCTAATATGAATTATATAGGACATGAGTCATCCATTCTCCTGCTAGGGTACTTTGATCAAACGTGACACTTGTTAAAAGAAGTGTCCACCGGTGAGGCACTTTGACTATTTTAATGCCTGCCTTCCCCACTCCTTGTCCCCTAAATAAAGGAAATAAAGCCATTTTGCATCTTCAAAGTGCACTTTGGTCTGTCCGTCTTTTTGTGTGTTCTTTTGTTTTTTTGTTTTGGTAGGAGGGACAGCAGTGTGATAAAGGAGGAAATCAAAGCCTTCCTAGCCAATCGGAGAATTTCCCAAGCAGTTGTTGCACAGGTAACAGGTAAGAGCTCAGGGAGTCCTTTCTTCCTTTTGGGAAACTGTGTCTAACTGCCTATCTGTGCACGGTGCAGATGTTGGAATATTGCTTGGCTTTCTGCATTGCAGTGCAGATCTGTCAGCTTAGTCATGATAATGTATGCCTTTGATTTAAGACCCATTGTCCCGCACATCATGGCACTTCCCCAGTGAATCACTTTTTCTTTTTTTCCCTTTTTTTTGTGGCTTGTGCTAGCAGATTTTATTTTACAGCATTATAATAAGCCCGAAGTTCTTATCTTAAAATGAAAACGGTTTTCCTTAATTCTTAAATTGTTTGTTGAGTGCGGCAAAGAGATGCGTATCTGCATCTCTATGTATGGAGGGAGATAGATAATATGTATTTATATTATAAAATGTCTATCAATAGGCAGGAGACACAGCTATAGCTGGTATCACTACATCCAGGAGTCAGATTATCATAGTTTGAAGTTTTTCAGTCACTTGGCTTTGAGTCACGGTTAATGAAAATCGGCTGTGAGGTTGAGGGGATGACCATATCAGCTCAGATTTTACCTAGAACGAGAAGTAGTTCTTTTTTTGCCCTCTGCCCTGTGCCTTCTCTCTTTCGCATTCAGGACAAGCGAACAGACTGCAGTGATAGCACGTCTTCCTTGGGTGTGTTTCCAGAGCTTTACCCAAAGAGTATCGAAGTCTTACTGCTCCTCCATGGGTGGGGTGTTATTAGTTCTCCTTTACGAGCTCACATTGCTTGTCTGGAGCAGCATAGCTGGTAGCCTATTTAGCATGAAGACTTGATGATAAAATACAGATAGCCCAATCCCGTGTTATACCTATAACATTTATTCATTTTTAAACCCAAGCTTGAATAAAGATCTTGAAATAGATCGTTTTTAAGGTTCCTTGATGACTAAGAATGCCAAACAAGCGGGAGGGAAGTTGTTCTTTTATGATATTCCCAGTATTTGAAATGTCATAAGAACCCATCTGGCTGGGAGATCTGGGTTTGCAGACATGCTAGCAGTTGAGGCAGGCAGGCAGAAATGGGTGCTTGAGCCATGGAGCCAGGAATTCCTTCCACATCTCTGACTCTTCTCTGTGATCTTGGGCAAAGTTACTTGTCCTTCCCTGGTTTCAATTTCATCTGTAAAATCGCGAGATTAACATTTTGTGTAACTCTAAGGAGTGTTGTTGGCCTTATCAGATGTTAGCACTAGTACTTCAAAAATTAAATGCGAAGTCTAGTTGCTTAAATTGTACCTGAACTCTGAAGTTAGTGGGTCGCTCCCCTACTTCTGTGCAGTCCTTGCCTGAATATAATCCTGGAATAACTCATCTCTGAATTAACCTCTGCGTAACACCCTTCACATCTACCAGCAAGTCAAACTAGCTTCCCCTTCAAGAGAAGCAGTGTAAGGAGGAAAGAATTGCAGAAAAAGAGTCTTTCCAAAACAAGCCAGCGTTGGTTTTTTTTTGGTCAGTGGGATTATTGCATGCAGGGCTGTTGAATCAGAGTCACCACACCAAATTTAAGACAGAGCCTGTATCAGTAAAAGGAGCTGATCTAATTACAATTAGCTAGGTTTCTCGGTGCATCTCTTGACACCCCTGCAGGCAGACTGTAGGAAAGTCAAGGCCAGTCTCTTCATACCTGACCATTTTGCTCCTTCCATCCTCCATCTACTCTCTTGGATTTCAGTTGTTAAAGTCATTAAGTTGGCATTTAACCTTTGGGAGCTTTCACTGTCTTTGCCAGGCTCTGCCTCCTGTGAGTAAACAGCAGCATCCACTTCGTGCTCAGTTGACTTTCACACCCATCCCACTCAACCCTCCTGTGTAACATGGCGGGGGATCCAGACTGTGCTCTCTGCTGGTTTTGGCTGCGATAGAGTAAATTTTCTTCATAGTAGCTAGGATGAGGCTACGTTTTGGATTTGTGCTGGAAACAGCCTTGATAACACAGATGTTTTTGTTATTGCTGAGCAGTGCTTACACAGAGTCAAGGCCTTTGCTGCTTCTCAGCGAGGGGGCTGGGGGTGCACGAGGAGCTGGGAGGGGAATGACGACATGCTTAGCATATAAAGCTGTGGAAAGAAGAAGGAAGGGGGAGGGGCATTTGGAGTGATGGCGTTTGTCTTCCCAAGTAACCGTTATGCGGGATGGAGCCCTGCTTTCCTGGGGATGGCTGAGCACCCGCCTGCCCATGGGAAGGAGGGAATGAATTCCTTGCTTTGCTTTGCTTGTGTGAGTGGCTTTTGCTTTACCTATTAAACTGCCTTTATCTCAACCCACGAGTTTTCTCACTTTTGCCCTTCCGATTCTCTCCCCCATCCCATATACAAAACAAGTGGTGCACAAGGCAATTGCTCACCAGCCACTGACCGATGCCCAGCCTGTCCCCGAGCAGTGATCACTGCCCACCTGTCAACTCCCCCAGTTTCTATATTGGGCATGACGTCATATGGTATGGCATAGCCCTTTGGCCAGCCTCGGTCAGCTGTCCTGGCTGTGCCCCCTCCCAGCTCCTTGTGCACCGGGCAGAGCAGGGGAAGCTGAAAAGTCCTTGACTGGTGTAGCAACAACTAAAACACCAGTGCGTTATCAACATTATTCTCATCCTAAACCCAAAACACAGCACTATACCAGCTACCAGGAAGAAAATTAACTCTATCCCAGCCAAAACCAGACACTCAGACAGTGAACAGAGAACATATTACCGATGTCTCTTTCGAGCCTGCCAGTGGGACAGAACGAAGACTGAACTAATGGCACTGTGTTATTATCTTGTTTTCAAGCCAAATCAATGGGAAACCAGGTAGATCTAAAGGTTAAATGGCTACGTCCTTTTGCAGCTGACCCAGTAGTGTTTCCATGGACCTTTCAGATAAGAAAAGAAGGGGATGTTTTGCACGTGATGCAGTTTCTCAGGCAGAGACAGCCTCAAGGCTTGCGCTGCCCTGCGACGCACCAGTCTCTTCCTCCCACTGCCCTTTGCAGCTGAACTGTGTCATCCTCTGTAGGCTTGGTGGGAAGGTCTATGGGAGCCGATTAATTTTAAATATAACCCATAGCCTTGTGTAAGCGGATACGTAGTACTTACGTGCCACTATTAAGTACATAGTTATGGCTTATCTGAAAGAAATAGTAAATCTCAAAGAGATGTTTGAAGGGACCAGATTAAAGCGTGTGTGCTCAGCACTACCGAGAGAAACGTCAGCTTCCTTTCAAAAGCACCGTACGGTGAAGAGTGACTGAAAATAGCTTGGGACAGAGAGCCGGAGCAGAAAGCATGCGTCCCAGGGCTCTCACTTCCAGAGTTGTCTTAGGCCTGATGAGTGCTAGTTGACTTGTGTATTCTTCAGATGTATCCAACATCCCTTCCCATTCAGCTGTGAAACAGGCTCCCACGGAAGGTCTGGAAACCACTTTTGGTTCATTAAAAAAGCAGTTTGTGTAGACAGAGGTAATGCTTTGCGGAATATATGATCCCAAATGGTATCATCTCAGTGTTTACAGGCTTAGTCTTAGTGGTAAAGCTGTTCTGTAAATCATTTGGTAAACAAGAGGGAAAATAGATAAATGAAATCTAAAGAGTGGTCAGTAACAGATAGCATAGGGGAGGGCTGTGAGAGTGAAGTGATTCCTTTTCAGAATACTGTTCAGCCTCCAGTGATCCGTGTTTCTTGGTCCTCTTTATTATATTGCGCATGGAGGTGGAGCCCTGTTCTGGCCAACAAAGAGGCTGTGAAAGAGCGTGAAAGGGGGCAATTCTGCCAGAGCAGATCAGCAGCCCAGAGAGGCTGGTGTGCTTACAGCCTCCACCGCCGTTTGCTGGAATACAAACATAGCAAGCAGTTTCCGAGGGCTGCAGTGCAGATGTTGGGCATATTTGACTTGCCCATCCACTGGCTGCCACCCTGCATCAGCTGGAAGTCATTTGTTTAGCACTTGAAATAAATGCAGAGTAGTGTAGCCTCAGCTTTTAGCGTTCGTCTCTTCTGCCCCGGGAAGAGAGGCAAGAAAGAAATGAAATGAAAAATTTATGGCTGGCTCTGTCCAGAAGGAGAGTTGTTTGGCTTGGCTACCCATGCTGTCAACTTTCTCCTTTCGATCTCTAGCAATTTCTTTACTACTCTAAAAAATGGTGTGTGTGTAATGGGAGGGGAGAATGGCACAGAGAGGGGAAAGGAGTAATAGTGCATCTGAACAGGGTGATATTAGACCTTTAGCTGGGAACGTAAAACTTTGCTTCCTTTTCTTAATTACAGCTGGATTTGAAGTTGGCCAAATTGGACGTATAAGTGATGAACTTTAGCTAAACCAATGTATTTGCATGTCTTCAAATTGCGGGTCTTGGATTACCTCACCAGAGAGCGTAGTGTTTCCCCTGTGCCTATGATGGTATTTGGCCCCATCCTGTATCTTGTCATGTTCTGTCCTTGGTGCCGGGACCTCTGACGCAACTTCTGCCCCCTGAAACTTCCGTTTTACCCTAATTTGCTAATTCTTCAAGCCATTCAGGATTTCATTCAGCAATATCTTTCTCGGTTTTCCCATCTTGATTCTGATATTGCAATGCACTTACAGAATACGCATTCCTACGTCAGCCACAGTTCTACAGAGCACGCTGAGCAGCCTTGCAGTTACAGACTCTGCAACAGTAAACGGCTTTTCCTTTGGTTTTCCCTGTGCTGCAGCGCAAGGGGATGGGAAGTGCTGGAGAGGGAGGATACGTGAGAGAGAACCACGGAGCTGAAGGTTAAAGTCAGCTGTTGCAGTAGAACAATTTTTTAGGCTCTCTTAGTCTTTATAAAATTACCAGAAACTTTAAAAGTCATTTAGATAATGAATCTGACAGGGAAAATTAAACCTGGAAGACGTTCTACAGGGCTGACTTGTGTACTGAGAGAAGAGGGCAGACTGGAAAATAGTAAGAGAGTATTAAATGGTGACTTGAAAATAAAGGAATGATTGATAAGAAGCAAAAACCTAGCATAACACTTATTATTGCTGGTCCTAAATACAGGAGCTGCTTTTTATAGAAACTTTTTTAATGGTGTCTGTAATAAGATAAACAAGAAGCACTTGGGTTGGGCTCTGTATAAATAATCTCCTCCTGATAAGAAAAATGACAGTATAAACAGGTGAATTTCCTATCTTGTTACTTGAAGCTCCTTTTAACATAGCTGCAGCTTACTCCAGGGTAGGTATTTAGCCCTACATGGGGGAGGTGAGATGCCAAATTTTTATCAACAGTAATTTGAAGTCGTGTGCTGCAATTTGCTTTAATTGCCACCAGAATTGTATCTGGGTACCAACTAATTTATGGTCAGCAGGCAAAGGATAAAGAGATAAATGTAAACTTATTAAGAGATGCTGTCTCTTAGCTTCCAAGTGTAGATGGAGGGCAGGGGAAATGTTTTTGGAAACTAACATCTCTCTGTTAGGTACTACAGTAAAGGAGAGAGGGAGGAGTACACATAGATGAGTCCTTTGCAGCCAGGCTAAATGCTTTGATGGATGATGCCTCTGCGAGGTTTGGAAATACTACCTTTGCCATTTTTGACACATAGGGAGTGAAGGAACAAAAAAACCCTTACTTTCCTGAGGTCACAGTGGAAGCAGTCTGTGGCAGAGCAGGAATTTGAGTTCAGATTTCTCAATTCTTAAGCTAGTACCATAAAAACTAAACCACCATTAAAAAAAATCAGCAACAATAAAAAGCAGAGGTCTTTTTTTTTTTAAAATACATAACACACAGAGCTTTCCAGTGTGCAGTTCTGCTAACCTTCTCAGTTATTCGGCTTGTACAATTCAGCCCTGTCCTACTGTCTCTGTCTCAATTGGTAGGAGATCTTCAGGACTTAGCTTTGTGTTATGGTAAACACACACAGCAGCTAGTGCAGCGGAGGGCAGCCTTGAAGCACTGCTATAATATACATAAAATCCCTTAAGGTTTGGAACCTACACACAGGGTTGCTGAGCAAATGCAAATACAAACAAAGTGAAACTTCACTAGTTCCATTGTGAAGAGAATTCCGAAAATTACTGAATTACTGATCATCTGAAATGGCAAGAAACTGGATTTTGAAAAACATCTTCCTTCCTTTTTTTTTTTTTTTTTACACTCATGACAACACAGGGAAAGATTTGTTTTTCTATGATTTTGATCTTTGCAAGTTTTCTGTAAACAAGCTTTGCTAATCTCTTAAATTGATAGATGTCCTTCGCAAGCACGTATTATATGAATCTAGGACTTTGCTTACAAACTGAAGAATTAAAACAGTCAGTTACTTTCTTCTCCAAATCTGATGTATTCCAGGTGCTTCTAAAAATCTCTCCTGAAAGAAACATTAAAGAAATGCAAAGTAGAGTCGCTGAACAAATCTGTCTGTGAAGGTGAAAGCCAGTTACCAAAGACTTGATGAATAGCAGTTTTGAGGGTTAGGAGCGGATTTGTTCTGCAGATACCAGTTGCCTTCTCTTGATGATGTATTTTGCCGTTTCTTTTATGTATTTGAAAGGGAAACTTTTTCCCCAAATAGTTCATGTAGGAGAGAGTGGGGCTGGCCAGAAGAGCACGCGTGTACTGTCGTCTCCATTTTGGTTATAATTAGGAACTGTAACCTGCTATTGGAAGGAGTGACAAGAAGTCAACATTTGAATTGCTACAGTCCTTTGTGATTACCACTTCTTTCTTCAGTATTTTCTGTGAGAAAACTAGTTGTGCTCATTACAATGTGTTCGTGTCCCTGCTGACGCGGAGCCCAGAGGATGGCAGTCTTCCTTGAGGTCCGTGGTTCAGTTTGAGAGTGAATTTCCTCAAGACAGCTGGATTTTCAGTACTCCAGAGAACTTATTTCATTAATCTGCTTCTGGCAGCAGGATGATTTCTTTTTTCCTGCCACTGCAATTTCCTAAAGTAGCATGATTACAGACAATGTGACAGGGTGGTACTGGTGGTAGTACTAGTCATTGTCCCTATGAGTCAACTGTATAAAACCCACTTGAGATGCAAGAAACTCTGATGTGACAATTCTTTTTTTTTTTTTTAATTGAAAGGGATGAAGGATGGGTTTGTGATTAAGACACTGTATTGGGATCTGGATGATCCTAGATCAGTTCTTCTGCTACGGACTTTGGACGCGACCTTGAATCAGTCAAGCTGTTAAAATATACAGTTTTGGGGCCTCTAAACTGAGCTGAGGTACAGATGAAAGATATTTTATATCTTAAAAAGAGGAGGAGTGGTATAGGTAGAGGAAACCTTTAAGAAGCTCAGCTGTCACCACAGATCTCTGAAACAAGGAAAGAGAATAATAAAAACCAGAAAAGGATGATAGGAAATGGGACTTAAATGTTTTTCTAAAGGTCATCTGCTAAATTCCTATGACCATAAACAAGATCAGCTGCCTAAGCTGTACCTGACACGTTATCTGGGTTTGCGGCATTGCTATAGAAGTTTGCTAGCCAAAGAGCAAAATAGGTATGGGCTTTTTGCTAATGCAAAAAATGCTACGGACTGCAGCTCTATTCATGAGCTACTGTAGTCAAATAATAACGTACTGAGAATTTGTAGTGCATTCGTTGAATCCGTCCATCTCAACGTCCTTTACAAAGCTCCATTTTGCAGAAGTGACGTTATAAACTGCGAGGACTCGCAATGAGTCAAACGTGGACATGGCAATACACAGCTTGAATCTTTTGGCTCCTGCTCCTTTGCTTTGTCTCGAGCACATTGTCTGAAGTGGCTAACATCTGTACCACTTTATGACTGTATCAGGCAGCCTCTTGAGCAGAATTTGGATTTTCCACTATACGACTCTTGTTGAAGATACTTAATCTCTATTTATAATTTTTTCTCTAATAATGCTTTGCATTTGTATCTCGCATTGTTTTCCAAACACTCAACAAACACTAATTCACTGCAATAAGTGTAAGTGGACTGTAGTAAACAAGTAAATTAATGGTGCTGTTACCCATTGATTAATAGGAGCCGTGCAGCCAAAAGCAGTGAGACACAACCATTTGTGTCCCACAGCACTGTGTTAAAGAAATGGCTTTTATAAATATAATAGTAGGTGAAGAGCTGGAAATTTTCAAAACTTGGTCTTTTTATTGGCAACCATGCATCTAGATTGCGTGATTTCAACTAGACTGAAGCTTTGTTTGGGGCCGGAGAGTTTTATCAACTTATATTGACTTCTTTTGGCATTAACTTGTATGCTTCCACAGTCACTTGATGTAAACTTGGCAGAATCTGAGGCTTGTGTTTGGTTGAATAATTCCACTTCCCTAGTAGTATAAACAAAATTATATATCCCAGTGTGGGCCCTGGGGGCAGCCAGCTCTTGACCACCTCAGCTGTTTCTGAACTCTTTCAGTTGTGGGGCAAAGTCTCTGGGAACGGGTGCTGAGAAGGTCAATAAATATGCGTGAAACAAAACCAAACCAGGGTACGTTTTGTGGGCAGACCTCTGCTGAATAGCAGTAAGCTGCTGTACTCGAAACAAAACACGCCTATCCCTTTTCCCCAGGACAATTAAAACTTCATAGGCTCTGGAATTCTGTGTAAAGAAGAACAGTTAAGAGCATAAACCCTGTGATTTTAGAAATCTGGTTGGAGTAAACCCACCTGAATATGACACCTGAGAGTCAAGCTTAATCATTCTAAAGTTAGCTAGTTTCTGTGTTCAATGCAAAAAAAGCATAGTAAAAAAATGTCTATTAGAAGTGGTAAAACTACAGGGGGTTGTTTTTCATGAGTTAAATATGATTATGAGGTCTTATAAAACCTTGACGCATCTCAAGAGGGGAGAGGTAGTTTGGTTTCCGTGTGAAAACCGGCCCTCTACCTGCCTTGGCGTTATCACCACGCAGGTGGTGGCACAGCTGGTGTTCGGCAGTATATCGTTACTTGGAGCACCTCCTAAAACTTTAATTCTCAGGAGAGTTTAGATGTTGTTAACCCTTTCCGAAGCTGAAGAGCCTTGTGGAAAGCACAGGGCGTCCTCCTACCTGAAGTACTGCTTCAGTTATTCAGCAAACTATATATTTTTTGATATTTTCAAATGGACCTACAGGTGTACTTCCTAGTGCACTTTTAAACCTTTATTTGGTTCCTCTCCTTCTAATCCCTTCTTTTCCCTTTCTGCATTGATCCTTCATGCAGTGTCATGCTTTGGAAATAACTGAATTAACTTCTCGAGTTTTTTCACCTTTTACTGTTTTCGTAGAAGTCTTGGAACTTTTTGTCCCTAATCTTGCCTGGATACCTAGAGCTTGAATCCTGCTCTGCTGACAGGCAGCTGCCCTTTCTGTTTTGTTTTCTAGCCGTTGTTCTGGCTGCTGATAGTTGGCTTGCTCCATTTCTGGGCTGATTTGATCTATATCACATCAACTGTTTCTATATTTATCTCCCTTCTTATTCAAGCATTGAATGATAATGATCTCCTAACTATCATTATTTATATATAATAGTGGGTAAGGGACTTGTTCCCATTTCACAGATGACGAAATGTAAGAATTGGGGAAGTTGTGAGCAGTTCAAGTAAGTGGTAGGGTTGGCTTCCCGGTTTGTACCCTCTTTGCTTGTAGGTTGATGGTGCTGATGCCAGGGTGCACCTTGAGTAAGGCTGAAAATAACAACAGGGAGAAGTTGAAGCAGTTAGGGAAGGGCTGGGGAAGCTTGAACTCTCTACTTTTTCTGTGATTGAAACATTATGAGTTCCTGGGCTTTGTAAGACAACCCCTTTTATCGGTATATAAACCAGATTAAAATGTTTTTAAAAGAACAAGTTTTCTCTTCCTCTTTCTCTCCTTTTTTTTGTTTTGTTCTGTTTTTTTACAGGTATCAGTCAGAGCCGGATCTCCCATTGGCTGTTGCAGCAGGGGTCGGACCTGAGTGAACAAAAGAAAAGGGCATTTTACAGATGGTACCAGCTTGAGAAGACAAATCCTGGTAAACAAATACAGCCTAAACATCTCCTGCTGTTTTATTTATGGAAAAGAAGCCTTTTGTCATTGGTTTTTGTTATCGCTGCTCATTCACTTCTTCGTCTGGTGTACTGAAGAGGTGTTCCCTCTGACCAGTTTACTTTTTAGGAGGGTAGGAACAAATCTGTGCTTTGCTTTGCAGCAAATGATCCAGAGCTGACTGCTCCACAGCTGTCTGTCCGGCTCCTCGGTCGCGGTTACGTGCCCTGTCCTCTCACCGCTAGCTAACTCTGGGAATCAGAAGCAGTCAGTGAAGCTGTAGTCAGCTAACATGAAATATATGCTGAGGCTCTTAAGAATGAACAAATAGAAAACGTTAATAATGGCTGCATAATATAAAGTCACAGCAAAAAACCCCACATTTTGGCGGAGAGGAACTTTGGGATGACTTCAGAGGGTTTTGGGTTGGATCTCAAGCTCATGGATGGGATGTTGATAGTTACAGTGATATGTTAGAGATGTGTCTCTCAAATCCCACCTGCTTCTCCAAATCTCCAAATAGATCTTAAATATAAAAAGAGAAGTGAAGCTTCTCATTATCTTTAACTAACCAGCAATCTTCAAAATCACAGTTGAATTAATTTCCTTGCATTGTTCTTCTCCATAGATTTTGTTTGACCACAGTTCTTATTTTTCCCTTTAGTGGTTTTATTGTAAAGATCAAAATATTTACATTTAATTTCCTTTAAACAATGGCATGATTAAATTAACTGTGTAATTGTTTTAAGGAATTTAAGACTCAGGCTCTCTAATGTGAACTTGGCTTCAATATCTAGAATTCTATTAAGAAAAATTCCAGTGAAAACAAATCCTCAAAACTTCTGCTCTGTGTGTAAGCTGAAAATCAAGAGGCTCCAGCTGTCAGTTGGCCTGAGAATACTTTAGCTTAAAGTTGGGTGGGTTCAAAGCCACAGCCGAGCCTGTCCTATCTGGTAAGCATCTAGGAAATTGGTTTAAAGAATGAAAGTGCCCAGGGTTGTGAGGTGCTGACAAGCTGCAGGGATGACTGAGATGATTTTGCAGTGGCTGGAATTGTGATACTAAGGATCAGCAAAGTTACTGGGTACAGCCGTCCAGTATCAGCTGCTTTGAAAGCCTCAGGTTGTACCCTGTGAGGTAACTCTCAGCCATCTCCCTTTGATGGAAAGTATTGCCTCCAAAACAGTGGACAGAACTAGAGGTTTTTTGGAAGGCGTATTTTGGGAAAAAAACCAAAAGGCCCCTCCTAATGATGAAAACTGTTGTGTGGATCTTTCCTGTAGCCTTGCATCTTCTCTTTCCAATATCGTTTGGAGCTGTTTAAGAAGAAGCATTCTGTGCTGGCACAAGAGAGGCCTTGTCAAACTTCGCACTAAAACCTTCGCTTCTTCCTCTTAACCGTCTTTCTTTCCCCTTATTCGCAAGCTCACATCTTGTTTGTCCTTTCGCTCTTGAGAAGTGTCTAAGGAAGGAAGACTAGCAACGCTGAAGGTTACGGCTTAAATTGAAATGAATCGACGTTAACCTCTACTTTTCTGACGCGCTGTCTTGCTGAGGTCTTGTTCATTTTTCTTTATACACACATGGAAAAATTTCTTAAAGAGTAGTTGTTCGAGTTTAACCTTTTTTCAAATGAGAGATCTTACATGGCATTTTTAAGAAGTGTAAAAGGCAAAATGGCTCCTCTGCCTATGCCAAGGGACTATTTGGATGCACTTAAATTCCCTTTAGAACCAAATAAAGTTTGGTTTCATTTTAGAGGCTGAGGTAAAGGGAGGAACCCTCAGTTTTCCTGTAGCTGTTGGAAAAGGCTACTTGAGGAAAACGGTTGTGTTGTTTATCATAGGATAATCCACTGCTTTGAGTTATTGCCATCTACTATAGTGCAGGTCAGACTGGCTAGCCAAGAGATAATTAACATGCATGTGTGCAAGCGTATACAGTGTATTAAGGAAGGTACCAACCTTGTTCAAAGCATCCCGGATTTAAATTACTATTATAAAACCAATTTGGAGTCTAAGTTTTGGATACTACTTAGAGTACCCCGTGATTAGTAGACTCAACTAGCCATTCCGCTGCCTTCTCTAGAGTCAGAAAACGAGGAAATCAGTAGAGCCTCCTGCCGTGTTCACAAAGAAGCGATGTCGTCACTGCCCTCTCTGTAGAGCATAAAAGATTGTCCTCCTTTGAAGAAACTTAAGAGATCTGGCGTGTGTTTTTTCTATTCGTTTGCTTAGTAGGAAGTGACATTTGGCTTTCTATTCTCATAAATCCCATCTTTTCCAGTTCCAGCTGCTGGGAATAAAATCTCAGTCCTTCTCCTTGGAGTGATAGAGTTGGGTCTCTCTGCACAGAAGCACCTACGTGTTTGAGTTATCAATGGGCAAAGTGAGGTCTTTAGGAGCTTTTAGTTCCCCCATTTCTTTAAAATTTTGGAGAACTGGATATTCAGAGTAAGTCCATTTTCTGACTGAATTTGTTTGTGTAGTAACAGAAAGAAAACTGTCGCTTAGAATTGAAACTGTTTTGAAGGACTAGGACACCAGATATAATCACTTTATGAACTGTAAAGGAAGAATAGTTGTTTTGTGAGGACTGGAGATCACTTGGCAGACCTGTGGCCTTTCCTTGGCTCTGTTCTCACCTTTGCACCTCACTTTCCCGTCTCCTAGATGAAGACGAGACCATTTTCCTGTGTATGACTTGCCTGCTTTGCCTGTAAGTCCTCACAGCTGGGACTGTCTTTTACTACACCCAGCCAGGAGTTTCTAATAATATAGGGGACAAAAGATGACTTACAAATACATCAAAAGAGATTTTATTTTTCGTTTTTTGAATGTACAATGGTGCTATATAACACTTCAAATCATCCACAAGCAGTCCTGCATCTGCTAACCAAAGAACTTCTTGTTGTGGAGCCTTAGGGCAGTTTTGAGACGTTGCTGCTGTTGAGACGTTGCTAGGTATTGCTCCTATACAGAAGAGACTCAAGCAATTCCATCACATTTGTTATTTGCCAGCTTGCTTTGGCCTCTTGAATATGCTGTTTGTTGTTCCCTTGGTTTTGATTGCTTATTTGCATGGGTGCTTTCTATATTTCTCCTATCTTTGGTGGTGGTGGTGAGGCAACAGCAGACCGGAACATTGCAAAAGAAACTTAAGTCTCATGGATCGGAAAAAAACCTCCCACTTTTCCTACTGTATGCAATAATCTTGCTCAAAAATTTCTTGATCAATGTTGTCCTGGTAGGAGTGATGTCGGAGTTAATAGCAATGCTGCGAATCCCAGCATACCAGTGACTGTAAATTTTTCTGGGAAGAGTTGCCAGTTGGGGTGAAAGGCAGCAGTTTTTTGTTGAAGGGAAGAAGTCAGTGCTAAATGCTAGTGTTTGAAAGGTCTTTAATCCAATTAATAGGGATGCTTTTCATTTAGATCGGGCTTTTTTTGGACAGGCACCACATCTCTTGTGTTTTGTAGAGGACTGAGAGCATTTTGGCAGTAGATAAATAGTATATGTTTCAGGAGCCAGTACATGAGTGCATAGAGTCCTATAATGTACTGATGATTTTTTTCAGAGCCCATGGGTATTAAATAAATAAATCTTTCTTTTTACATTGGTCGTTGTTAGCCTGATCAGTTTGGCTGGCACTGGGTCTTGGGCAATGTGGAAAGTTTGTTACGGAGTAACTTCAGCATGCCTTTTGCCTCTGTGTACTGCAAACTGAAGCTGGCACCTAGAAATGATGTGTTGAAGTTACAGATGGATACAGACTGCTTCCGTTTAGGCTGGATATTTATTTCTGCCAATCTTCTGTAATAGGAAGGCAGCTGTGGTCACCTTGGAGAAAACCATGTGCTCTTCCTCCTTGAACAAAAGGGAACAAGAAAGGTAGTTATTATCAAGATGTAGCATCTCTTGTGTTATTCCCATAGCAGTTCTTGTTTAGCTATAAAACCAAAGCCTACAAAAAAAAAAAAAAAAATCAGGGGCTGGATATCCCACGAGATTTGCACTGGAAATGTATTGTTGGTGATTTACTATTTTACAGAGCTGCAGAGAAAATAGTCCCTGATCCTTTCCATCCAAGCAATGAGCTCTGTAGGGAACCTTTTGCTGTGCAGGCTGCTGATTCAAATCTAGCCTGGCTCATTCGTAACGGGAAGGTGTTTATCATGTGATCTCAGGTCAGTCTGGCTAAAAATACAGTGTGACATCTGCTCTTATCAGTATAATATATGATAGGTACTTGCTGCAAAGGCTTGCTAGTGGTTTTGGGAGCTGGGAGATGGCCCGAGGCTTGCTCCAACCATTCTGCGCATCGCCCCTATGTGGCAGGGCCTCTCTGAGACGTGTGATGTGGATCAGCAATTGCATGTGACGCTTTTAAAAGCAACCCTCTTTCTTCAGGATGGTGCCTGGGATGTGCTGAGAGAAGGCAGGCCTTTGCCGTGAGGAATTTTGAGTACAGAGATGGAGCTGCAGTCCAGTTGGAGAGCACCGCTCTTGCCTCCTTTCCCCAAAACCCACCTGCAGCCTTCCCAAAGTCATACCCCCGTTTGAGAAAATACTGGCTTGCACAAAGAAAATTCTGTATTGTTGCAAAGGGTACTCGTCACTGGCAGGTAGTGAGAGATGTCGCTTTTCATTTTTCTCTGCGAAGGGAGTTCTTCCCAGACGGTTCACCTCTATACCCCTTACAGATGTCTTGCTTTTTGATGCATATACTAAGATGAAAACCTCATACTGCATTTGCTCCACTCATTCTGCTCAAGAGAGAAGTTTCACTTCTTTTTAAAAGCTGTTTGAGGGGTTTGTAGAAAGAATCTGGCCTAGTAACTAGGATATAACTTAACTAAGTTGTAAAGAAGCGGAGCTGGGTGACAAGATTGCAATGAAGTGCTGCAACAGCAGAACGAACGGGATCCCCAAGTGCTCACGTAATTGAGGGGGATGAAGAAAAGCTCCACGGTTACCTTATCAAATGTGGCAGCAGTGCGTACGTCCACCACTTTTGCCCCTCCTACATCCAAGCACGTTTTGGGCCTCTGTGTGCATTCAGATGCTTCCATCTTTCCGTGTGAGCAAAACCAGTGGTGGGTACTTGCTTGTAATTCTCAGCATACTTCTCTCTTATCTGCTGCTGATATTGATGTTACCCCATAGAAATGAGAACTAGGGAAATTGATCTAGCAAGGCTACTAAAACAAAAAAAAGCATCTTATATTCAGTAAGTGAACATATCAGTAGCAGGAGCAAATTTATGCTTTAAATGCAGATTTTTTTTCAAACTTTGTCTGAAAAATCTCGGGCAAATTTAATGGAAATACTCTGCGTCTCTTACCTTGATATTAGGCATCACTGATATTCCTGTACTCTCCCTGTGAAAGGAAATCCTCAGGTAGGGCAAGTA